CCCTATATGCCAAAACTGGGTTCCTCTAACCACAGTGAGTGATATCAAAGGCTCCAGAAGCATATTTGCCCAAGTTGTTGCCAGAGCAAATCAGCATCGTCTTCTAAACATCTTAAGACCTGGTGCCAGGAAGTGGAACCGTCTGTTGGCACTTTTGTGGTTGGAGTGGTTACTTCACCCCTCTGGAGGCAGAGAAAGTGACCCACTTCACATGGGAACCCACCATCCTGCTGCATGGAGGGCCTCCACAGTCACACTTCACCTGAATTGGAGCAATAAGTGCATATCATGAAGGATAAAGTAGGTCTCTTTTTTTCACCCCCCAGATAATAAACTAAATGACTGGTCATAAATCCAAAGATGACCTCTCCAGGACAACAAACAGCACACTCTGCCAAGAAAAAGATCTAATTGCTGTTCTTACCATCCAAAGGAAAGCCATGAGTGTGATCCTAAAAGAAAGGAAAGATTTAACCATTTGGTACTCACTAAACACCTGTCCTTCCAATCTTAACTATGTCCTACCCTTTTTTATTCTGCCAACATCTTTCCAAAATGGACTCACAGCTTTGATACAGTCCACCACCAAAGTTGGGCCTTTTCTCAAGCACTAAAGACATGCTTTAGAACATAAAGACTCTAACAGGAATTTCTTGAACAGCCATAGGAGACATATGCAAGTGTACTCAAGTGTTTGTGGCTAAGTGATAGCATTAATAAAATGGGAAATAAAGTTTTTCTAAGAAAAACTAAAAAGAGAGCGATAAAGCAGTTTTTCTCTCAAAAGTAGAATGTTTGGTTGTGCTAGAGTATGAAAGATGGTAAAAATTAAACTTAAGCAGGGAAGGGCTGGGCGGAGAGAGAAGTGCGGCAATGAATGAATGGAAATCCAAAATCTCTGTAAATGTTCATTAAAATTATTTTAAAAAATTAAACTTAAGGATATATAGCAAGTTGTAGAAAGTGCAGGGGGAAAAACGGAACTTTCGAGGGAGAACAGTAAAATAATGGATAGACAAGAAATATGGCATTGAAATAGGTAAAGGAAGGTAATTCTGAAAAGAAGTGGCACTAAGACATTATGAGAAATGCAGCTGACAACTTGGTACAGGACATGCATGAGGGAATGAAGGGGAAGAGGAAGGGTGGGAGAAATCTGTATAAATGGGTAAATGAAAAGCAGATTAAAGTGCTATTTCCCTGGTCTGTTCCTCTGCCTGTTTCTCACTCTGCAGACCAAGGAATGCCGCCCAGGAGAGCCCTTAATAAAGCTTCTGTAGTTTCCTTTCTTTCTCTGGTCCCTTCCTTGAGTCCTTGGCCTTACATCTAGTGCGAAGACATAACATCCTGGTGTCGAAACCCAGGAGAGGAGTTGAAGTGTGTTGCTCCCCATCCCTGCCCGCTTTTGGGATAAGTGTGGCACCCCTCACTCTCTCTTGAACCTACCAGCTCGCACAGGTGTCAAGACATCTGAATGGTAAAGTAACAGAAACGGTCCCTTTTCTCTCCTCTTCTCCTGTTTTGTGTGTATGCTTGCTGACTGAGTGCTTTGAATGCTTGTGAAGAGGCTCCGTGGCTGATGCTATTTTGAAGCCATGGAGTTTGATTGGGTCCCCACCTGTGTTTCCAAGGTGTTGTCATACAGCTTAGTTGCAATTTGGGGGATCCTCTAGGGACCCCAACTGGGCCTGGGTTTGATTCAGATAAGCCTATTGCTTAGACACACTTTTACCCCACAAGGGGCATGGTGAGAGGGACGCCTGCATGGACTGAGGGGACAGACCCTCTGTTGTCTATTTCCCTCCATTTGGTGTTTGTATCTGGTCATCAGTACTGTCCTCTTTGCCTAAACTCATTCTTCCTGTCCACTGCTACCTCTATTCTGGAAGAGTCCTTGCTGGGAGTTATCTGGCACATCTTCCCATTGAGAACTCTGCCCCTATTCTCCTGACTTCTGCCTCTCCCTATTCTCCTGACTTCTGCCTCTGCACTCTCAGATTCCTTTTCTGACTCAGAAGACTGTTCTCCTTCAGAAAGGCCCATTTGCTCATAAAATTTCCAGACACTGTTCAGAACAGTTCCCAGGCATTTTGCCTCTAGACATTTTGAACTCCCTTGGGATTCACGTCTGTCCACACTGGACTCTTGTCTGCACATATATCTGTCCAATATTTCCAAAAACCGCAGGCCTGCATCAGGAGCCCACCCAAGCACCGGGCGCTTCCAGGCTATTGATTGTGATTGGGGACGCCACGTAATCTCTCAGCCTTTCCCATAATCTGAGGCTTCCAACTTTCAGAGGACGCTCTGAAATCTCGGCTGCCCTCACCTACAGACCTGAACACCATAGGTAGTTAAATGTCTTTCAAATTTGGTCTGGCTGAGGACCTACCCCCCAATAGACTAATCTGTTACTGTAACCAAGCACTGCTACAATACCAACTAGATAACAATTCTCAATAGCCTGAAAATGGGACTTTTCATATTAATAACCTTCGAAATCTTGACAATTTCTGCCAATGGACTCAAGGATCATCAGAAACCCCATCTAAGCTTTCTTTCCATTTCCCTCCCATCTATCTCTGAAAAATCTGCCAACCTGTGCAGGTTCTTTTAGCCCACGGTAAAGTAAATTTTAGTATTTGCTTTTATTTCTTTACTTTGAAAAGCATAATTCTTCCATGATTTAAAAAGTGTAGTTATGTGTGTGTAACTTTACCAAGTGAAACCAAGCCATACTGGCTTTGAGCCAATTAAGAGTATTGCAGTTTTTTAAATGTAGCATTTCGGGGTAGTGAATACATGTGAAATGACTTAGTATATCTAGTCTACTGAACAAAAACCACTTTGAAAATAAAAGTTGTAAGTTTTAGCATAGTATGAGATTCAAGAATGTTTTTAAATTTTTACATTACATCAATTGTCATAGATTTATTAAGATGGGGAAAAGACTGATTTCCCACACAAAATGTTACATGGGTGATATGCTGGCCTCTTTCATATACCAGCCTAAAACTGCAGCCAAACTAAAAATAAAACAACACCTTCCTTTTCCAACCCTAACCCACAGATAAAACATCATCTCTCCTTTTCCTGACTCCACTGAGTAAATGATCCCACTTAGCCTCCCAACTAAACATCACAGATAAAGAAAGATCAAACTCCTATGCTCCTCCCTTCTCTCCTTCCAACCGCTCCCTACTCCATTCCAGCATATTACCCTCTATCCAAACTCAACCAATTTCTACAAAGTATAAATCCTATCCAACACCCTTCTTTCTTTTACTAAACAGGTTTAAGAATTTTATTTCCTTTTTCCATTAAGCATTTTGTATCCACTTTAAATTTTTCAGACAGTTCAGAACTAAAAATATTTTCAAATTTATCTCTTCCTTTTTATTTTAAGATTAATATAGTACTAGTTTAAAGCACATACATCTGTATATTTTAAAATTAACAACTGAAAAATGTTTAGGCACATTTTCCAAAAATCCGACAACCTATCAAAGAGTTTAGGTACCTAACCCAGACCTATGATATCACCTGGCATGACCTTTTTGCTGTACTTTCCTCTACACCGATGCCAGACAAAAAAGAGCATGTTCTCACTGCCACTCAGCAGCATGCAGACCAAATACATTCAACAGACAGCTCCATTCCAGTTGGCCCAAAAGCCATTCCCAGGCAAGAGCCAAATTGGACATATCAAATTAATACAATGGCAGGAAGAGATGGTCAAGCCAGTCATGATCATATGATTCAGTGTTTGTTAGCCAGCCTACATGTCATCTCCCATAAAGCAGTCAATTTTGATAAGCTCAGAAATCTCAAGCTTACCCAAGCTAAAGATGAGGACCCAAATGCTTTCCTTAACAGTCTCACTGAAGCCCTGACTCTGTATACCCCATTAGACCCGACCTCCTTAGCAGGGGCCACTGTCCTATCCACTCATTTTATCACTCAATCAACCCCTAATATAAAAAATAAACTAAAAAGCTGATGACCGCTCCCAAACACCCACTTGAGACCTGGTAACATGGCTTTTAAAGTTTTAATGCCCTAGAAGAACATGCAGAGGCTGATAAAGAGACTCATGCCCTCCAGAAAGTGAATCTGCAGACCCAAGCCCTGGTAGCTGCCCTACAGGCAGCGACAGTGGCAGTGGTGAGTAGTCAGAAACCACCTCCTCATTCTATGAGCTGGTTACCTCCTGGTGCATGCTTCAGGTATGGCAAAGGTGGTCATTGGGCTAACTGCTGCCCTGACCCTCGCCCTCCAACATGGCCCAATCAGTGGGACACCGGGCCACTGGAAAGCCAACTGCCCTTTGGTGCCTAGCAGCCACAGGGTATCACCTCCACCAAACCTGGCCCCTATCCTGGCTAACCTCTTAGGCCTGGCTGCTGAAGACTGAAGATGCCCAGGTTCGATAACCCCTATCACCACTGCAGAGGCCAGGATAACTCCTCAAGTAGCAAGTAAGCCAGTTTCCTTTCTTTTTGACATTGGGGCTACCTTTTCAGTACTCCCTTCTCAGGTCCTGTTTTCCCTTTCCAGATCTCAGTAACGGGGATTGATGGCTTCCCTTCTGAGCCTTTAAGCACTCAACCCCTCCTCATCACCTTCAACAAACAAGTCCCATTCCTTTCTAACTATTCCTGCATGTCCAATTCTGTTCCTAGGTAGAGTTCTCCTATCTAAACTTGGAGCTGTGTTCATTGGGAGCCAAGCAAACCAAGTTTGCCTGACCAGCCTTTAGTTGTATCCCTTTTAGAGCTCCTTTCCTCTGAACTCTTTTCTACACTATCTCTATTACCACACATTGTCAACCCGTTGTATGGGATCTTTCCACTCCATCTGTAGCCTCCCACCATCTACCTGTTCTTGTTCCTCTGAAAGATCCCTCCTCTTTTCCTGCTAGACCCCAATTCCCTTTCTCCGCACGACACTGCAAAAGTTAAAAACACCTTTTTTTTCTTTCCCACAGGCTAAAGGCTGGGGAGTGCAGCAGCGACCGCAGCAATACAGGCGGGAGTTTATCGGTGTGCAGGCCTAAACTGGGAAGAAGATGCTAATTAAAGTGAAGACCCTGACTGGAAAGGAGATTGAAATTGACATTGAACCCACAGACAAGGTGGAGCGAATCAAGGAGCGTGTGGAGGAAAAAGAGGGAATCCCCCCACAGCAACAACGACTCATCTACAGTGGCAAACAGATGAATGATGAGAAGACAGCAGCTGATTACAAGATCCTAGGTGGTTCAGTCCTCCACCTTGTACTGGCTTTGAGAGGAGGAGGTGGCCGCAGGCAGTGATGGATCCTCCCTCCATTTTACTTTACTCTGTCAATTATAATGAGGCATCATATAGCCTCTCCTCTGGGAGCCCAGAGCCACTGCCCCCTCCCCTGGATGCCCAGTCTTGTGTGTCTACTGGTGGGAGACTAAGAGGACCCCAGGATGCAATGTGTCTGGCCCAAAAGGCTCTTGCTAACTGATGGGTTTTAGTTGCTGTCCTGTGTGCTCCCCTCCAATGGCTATGTCCCTGGTTGTCAATAAAGTATTTCCTGATCTCAAAAAAAAAAAAAGTTAAAAACCCATTATTACTTGCCTGCTTTCCAATAAGCTTCTTATCCCCTAGTGTTCCTTGCACTACATTAATGATCTTTTATTGTCAACTTTCACGAACTAATACCGCTCAACTGCTTAACTTCTTGGCCACCAAGGGATACAGGGTATCCTCCTCCAAGGCCCAATTGTCTCTCCCCACAGTCATGTATCTTAGTTTTCAAACTGACCCCCATCACTAAAAGTCAATGAAAGCCTCCAGCCACCTAAAGCTGCTGACCAAATCCTCTTTTCTCAGATTTATTAGCTTCCTTAGACACTGGATCCCCAACTTTTCCTTACTATCAAAACTCCTTTATGATGTGGTACAAGCCACCCTACAAGGACCCTAGATTCACCTCAGATAGTTACAAAGCTTTCCTCAAGCTCCAGCATCTCCTCTTACAGTCCTCACCCCTTTCATACTTCTCTAAGCAGCTCAATGTCACCACCCAAGGATGGCAACTCTGCTTGCGATCCCTAGCAGCAGCAGCTCTCCTCATTAAAGAGGTGATTAAACTCACTCTGAGAAGACCTGCTTTCCCAAAACCTGCTTTCTCACCACTTCCTATCTTTACTTCCCCCTGGGCAAATACAGAAGCTCCATCTACTCTTTTCTTGAGAACTCTGATAGTAACCTCTCAATCACTGTCCCTCAACCTAGCTGCCCTACTTCCAGTAGACACCTAGACTTATGACCATGGCTGCCCTGAAGTCCTTGAAGACATGGGCTCTTCTTCCCTCCCTATCTAACCAACCTATCCCTCAACTTATTATGACCATGGCTTCCCTGAAGTCCTTCAAGACATGGCTCTACTTTCCTCCTTATCTGACCAACCCATCCCTAAGCCAGACCATAATGTTTGTTAATAGTAGCTCTTGTATAACCTCTGAGGGTTACCATTTGGCATCATGATAGATGGAGAAAATATTGAACTTGTCAATGGTTTCATGTTATCTGAATCCACCACCAACATCTGTGGTAACAGCAGTCAAGAAATAAAAAGATGCATGGTTCAAATCCACCAGATGCTCTGCCGGGGAAGGAGGGACAATCTCCTCCTGTACCAGTCAGATCTGATTTGACGGTACACTCACACAAAAATTAAAAAAAAAAAAAAGAAATAAAAAGATGCATTGCATTAGGAAAATCTGCTGCCAAGGATCTCTTTGGGATTGCAGCTTCTTGCCACCAGGCAACCAGAGCTCCACCACGGATCTCTTTAAAGTGCTAAAGAATGAGGATGTCAGTTTAAAGACCAAGGTGAGTCTGATGCAAAGTCACAATCTTTTTCAGTTGCTTCCCGTCCATCTGAATTTATTTTTTTAGAATAAACACCTTTAATACATGTGCTAAAATGGGAGGGAGATTTATTTGCCTTTCCATGCCTTGATTTTCCTCAGGCAGAATTCCAGCTCCTTGCCCTCTAGCACATAACCATCTGCGCGGCCACACTGGCCTGGCCGGGAAGCAATACATGCAAGAAGCTTGCCCTGTTGGAACTGCTCCTCTAGAGGACTGCTGATTTTTGCATTCTTTTTCCTTTCATCGTATTTTTTCTGAATTTTCTTTGATCGCTTTTTGTTCAAAATCTCTTCCTCCTCAGGAGTCAGTTTAGCCCCTCTCTTGCGACCCAGGGGTAGCGTATAGTGGGACTAGTATCACTGGCAGTACGGTGTACTGTCAATGAGCACAATGCAGTTCTTCACTAGGGTCTTGGTTCGGACCAGTTCATTATTGGAGGCGTTATAGACAACATCAATTATCCTTGTTTTGTGAGTACAACATTCAGAGCCCCTGGAGAAGTTCCCCACATCCAGTCTTAGGGCAGGGTACTTCTTGTGGCCTCCTCTCACACGAACTGTGTGTATACGGTGGGGGCCAATCTTAGTGTTGGCAGCCGGGCGTCCCAGCTTCCACTTCTTGTGGTAGGGCTTTCTGTTGCCCCCCGGTTTTGCAGCACTTGTGCCAGTTGTCCCGGGAGATGGCCCCCCATCAAGGCCGCATCGCTCACAGAGACTCACCCCACATCTGAAATTTGGACAATGAATAAGGATGACAGAAGAAGAATCTATGCAGTTGAGCTGAATGAGATGTTGAAGAGTACTGACTATTCCATGAACCAAAAAACCCCAAACAAATCTGTCTTGGAAGAAGTACAACCAAGGTGCTCCTTAGAGGCAACGTTGGCAAAACCTTTCTCTCACACCCTTTGGGCATGTTGTCAAGAAGGTCCAGTCCCTGGGAAAAGATATCATGATGGGAAAAGCGAAGGGTCAGAGTAAAAAAGGAAGGCCCTCAACAAGATAGATTGACACAATGACTATAAAAATAGGCTTGACAAAGAGATGGAAGCAACCTAAGTGCCCATTAACAAGTGAATGGATAGAAAAACAATGGAATACTACACAGAATTGAAAAACAATGAGATAGTAAAATATTACATAACATGGAGAAGCCTTGAGGACAGTATGCTAAGTAAAATATCTCAGTCACAAAAGGACAATTACTGCATAGCACCACTGTTAAAAAATAGGATAGACAATGAGGGGTTGAGAAGGAAATGGGGAAAGAGATAATGAACAGTGCATTAGATGAGGGGAAGAACTGTCCAAAAGTAATATATGACTATTTAGTATATGTATAAGAACAATCTGGAACAAAGGGTGCACTATGGGGTGGGCTGGGGAGGGGGAGGGAAAGGGCAGAAATGTGCAACAATGAATAAGTAAAAGAAAAAATAACAGGCTTGAGCATGGCAAAAGTCACAGGGGTAGTGCAGGATAGGGCAAGTTTCAGATATGTTGTTCATAGAATAGCTATGAGTTGTAGTTCACTTGATGCCACCTAACAACAACAACATTGTTCTAACGGAGATTTCTTTGAATACTAAGAGTTGAAAAAAACGGATTAAAAAAGTAAAAAAAAAAAAGTGAACTTTATTTGCCTTGGTTTGTAATACTACAAATAATGAGCTTAGGGAGGCGGAAAAAAATGCAATGTTTTGCATAGTCTTTAGATGACATAAAGCCAAGTGAATTGAGCTCAATTTCTTCCACTGGTATGATTGTCTTTAACTGTTTTTGTTCCTTCCCTTGATTCCTCAGAAGTCATCAGATGAACCAAAGCTCTGGAAACAGACTGACAGCAGCAAAAGCTTGTGGTTATGAACTACTGAAATAACAGATAAAGAAGGTGGTCCACCACAAGCAGATGGCTCTGGACATTAAGAACACTGCCAAGGCGAGACACGTGTTACATGATGACTGAAAGGTATGCCTGTGTAGCCGACCACCACCAGGCATTGCTGACTTATGAGGCCACACGAAGTAGCAGATAGAGGCCCTGGACGCACCTGAAGACTGGCTGCTTGTGGTCACCTGAGTTTTCCTCTAAGTGGCAGGGTGTTGCCTGGGTGTTGGTCTTTTCCTGGCTATAGAGTTGTTTTGTTGTGTTTGCCTCTAAGGCTGCTGTAGCCTATGCCCCCAGCTACAGCAATGCTACCTGTCAACCTCATTGTGGTACCTCCCCTTGAGTTCCTCAGGGACCTTGCAGAAGAGAGTGGTCCGCCAGGTTGTAAAAGCTGGTCTTAAGACCTTGAGCAGATTTTTTTTTAGGCCAAATATGGCTCCCCTCGAGGCTGCTTGCTACTAGGTCACTTCTGCTTGCTAAGTCACTGTTGTATAAGACAAGCTAAGATGGCTCTAGAGATCTGGAGCCCTGGCAAGAAACCACTTATGAAAGAAAAGTCCTTGCCTTCTTCCTGGAGACAGATTGCAGTTTGGCCTTGTTGTGCTTCCATAGGTATCACTGCTCAGGAGAATATCACCTCAGCAGGTAACCCTTAAGAAAACACTAACATTGCCATGTGCAGTTGCCAGTCTTCTTTTTTGTTCTCCTGGTATCTTGGGGCAAATTTCTAGTTACTCAACCCCATGCTTCAAAAACAATCGTGATCAGGAGCCTTGGTAATGCAATGGTTTCAAGCTCAGCTGTAACTGAAGGCAGGCAAGATGAACAAGTATAGTAGGCTAAAGCAACTTGACCCATGACCACACATAGGCTGACAGATGATATTTCCACATACATATTTTCATGGACTAAAAATATATCCATGGGTATAATAGAGCAAACAGGGCAAAGTGATGTATATTTCCTAGCCATAACCAATTTAAATTACAAGGGACAAGTTTAATTGGCATAACATTGTCTTCAATTTGCAGGAGAAAGATAGGCATCTCCTCCCATTCAATTTACTGCCTCTGAAGAGCTGCTGGAGGGTCAGCCATGAGTCAGCTCTGACTTTACCACATTTCTAAAAACGTCTATAAAAACAATGATTTACATTCTACCTTGTTGAGTAGTGACTGAAGTCTTAAAATCTTTTAAGGAACCATTTAAGGTTCCTGTTTGGAGCAAAGAAGAATGAAGAAAATCAAGAACACAAAAACAATTGGTCCAAAGGACTATGTAACCTCAGCCACCACAACCCCAAGATCAGAAGAATCAGATGTTGCCTGGCTTCCACTGCTGAGAAGAAACTGAGGAGCTCCTGAAAGGGATAGCAATAGAGGGTCCTGGAGAGAGTGGGAGAAAAGTACAGGACAGAATTCAAAATCATAAAAAAGACCAGGCAAGAATTTTACTTTTCTAAGAGGGTAGTGTTCTGGGGGAAGGCTTAGGAGGGGAGAAATGTGCAACAATGAATGAATGGAAATCCAAAGCCTCGGTAAACTTTTACTGAAATTAATAATAAATTTAAATGTAAAAAAAATTAAGGATGGCAATGGATTTATAACTGCTTATGCTAATAGCACTATATCATGGCCTGGAGGAGGAATAGTGGAACTGTATCCACATTTACAATATTCTTCTTACCAAAACCATTTATGGAAAATAGGAACTGCATTGGAACATGTATCTCTGGATTGGAAAT